CTTCGGGAGTGGGCGGCATACAAGACCAATAAAATACAAATACAATACAAATATACCAATGTTTGAGTACAGAGGACAAAGACAGGATAGAACACGAGGGTCAATTCGATTTCATTGAGGGCCGCATCAGGACTGTGTTTGACCTCAGGGTGGGCGTGGCTGGGGTGGGTGTGGCCAGGGTGGGCGTGGCCAGTTCAATGTCACTCGTGTTGGGGGCACTGTGGTGGCCCGAGCACTCTGCCAGCGAAAGCGGGCTCCCGAACTCCGTTTTCAGCTGTGATGGCTTCCTGCAACCCTCTGCGAATGAAAACAGAGCTCGGGGAGGGCCACGGAAGCTCTGTTTTCAGCTGCAACGGCCTCCTGCAGTCCTCCTTCCCGAGCTCCGTTTTCGCCGGCAGAGGCACCTTTGGCTGGTCCTCCTCTGTTTCCAGGGCGCTTGGCGTGCAACAATGAAAACCTATATTCTGCCCAACTTAAAAGGAGATTCCCCCAATCATCTTGGTAATCAATTTGTCTCTCTCTTTCACTTTCCAGAGCCGGTTAAGGAAAATTGCCCCCAAAATCCTGCAGCTCTTGGCGGAATGGACGGAGACGTTTCCGTACGATTTTCGAGATGAGCGCATGATGAGAAATCTAAAGGAGCTGGCCCATCGAATAGCCAGTACAGATGAGGTGAGCCTCGGGGTGCAAAACGGTTACCAACAGAAGAAAATGCATGCGGAACAGTTATATATGCGGAATTTAGGATAACGTGGCGTATAGGATAATGTGGAATGTAAGATGTCAGCGTTCGAAATAATGCACCCATAGAAATGAGAACTCCGAGGCAGGCAAGTTCCTCAAAGAACAGTTTTATTGGATACATCAGGGGTCGGCAACCGTAAACACTCAAAGAGCCATTTGGACCAGTTTCCCACAGAAAAGAAAACACTGGGGGCCACAAATCCCTTTTGACGTCTAAAATGAAGATAATACTGCATATATTGGCCTACCGGGGGTCGAAAAGCTCAATAAATTTTGCGTCAGCGGGTGTCGCACATTGGCGATTGTAATACATATTTTGAGCAACAGGGAGCCGCAGCAGAGGGATGAAAGAGCCGCATGTGGCTCCAAAGCCGCAGGCTGCCGACCCCTGAGATACATCATATTGTATCTCATATTGGCACAACTGGTGAAAGCCAACTCTAAAAGTTCCCATGGCTATCATCTAATTAAAAGTAAAAGTTTTCCCTTCCCCAGGTCATGTTGTCCAATCCAGTTGCTGGGCAGTCCCCGTTGGATATATTTCATGGCTCCCATGAAGGGACAGAGGCTAGTGGGAAAGCTATCAACCCACCTTGGTTGACTAGCCGTCCCATAGTATAGGGGTATTCAGGCGTAACATCTTTAAGACCTTTGGACCTCAACTCCCAGAATTCCCTAGCCAGCATGTCTGCCTGGGGAATTCTGGGCGTTGAAGTCAACGAGCCTTAAAAGTGGCCAACGTTGGATCCCTTGGTCATAGAAGTTCAATTAGTACCGTCCTTGGCACCAATTCTATAAGGCTGGCCTTTTGCAACTAAGATTATGGCAATTGGGTGGTTAGTCGCTATTTTTCTAGTTTTCATTGTATGCCACTATATTGAACTTGTTCTATCGTTGTGTAACCCTTTTATTATTTTGAATTCGATGCTTTATGCTGTTTCAATTGTTGGAAACCACAATGAGTCATTGTCTGCTTGTGATGTTATACAAAGAAAGACAGATTAATAGATAACTGTTGTTGTGGAATGCAGAACCATCCTGAGAAATACTTAGAGCAGCTGGAATATTTCATAATCACAAGGAAAATGCTCACACTCTACTTAGAGCTAGGAAAACACATAAGTATTTTTTAAGGATGAAAGTTAAAGGCAACTTTTCGCAGTGCTAGAGTCTTTCAGCTATATTGGCCCTCAATTCTCAGAAATCATTCATTCATTCATTCCATTCTTTCATTCATTCATTCATTCTTTCATTCATTCATTCATTCATTTCATTCATTCATTCATTCATTCATTCATTTTACCTTTAATTCATTATTTTATATACTGTACTTTTCGGAGTATAAGAGGCACTTCCCCACCCACACACCCCGAAGTGGGTGGAAATGTCTGTGCATCTTATGCAGCAAATGTTGCCAAAGCCACGCCCACCCACCGGCCCCCACCCTTTGGCCTCTGTCTCCCAGCAATTTGCCTCCTTGCAACAAAGAGCAAACAGCCTGGTCAGCTTCAGCACAGCCTGATTTAAAACAAGCAGTTGATTGGTGGTTGGATCAACCTCCCGGAATTCCACCTATCAGCTGTTCCAGGTTGCAAGGTTCGTGCTACCCATTGGCACTGTGGCCGCCCATTGGCGCTGTCTCCTATCGCCGCCCCCGCACGCCCCATTTTTTGGCCCATTCCAGGCGGCGGGTATAGGCGGCAGCACTGACGCTAGGTGACAGCTGCGATGGTCGGCAATGGCGGCGATGGGTGACGGCGATCCCCGCATCCTGGAACAGCTGATCAATGGTATTCCAGGAGGCCGATCCAACCACCAATCAACTGCTCCTGCTAAATCAGGCTGTGCTGAAACTGACCAGGCTGTTTACTGTTTGTTGCAAGGAGGCAAACTTGTTTTCCTCCCCAAAAGCTAGGTGTGTCTTATACTTCGGAGCGTCTTATAGTCCAAAAAACACGGTAAATAACCCAAGGTGGTGAACATACATACTACTTCTTTTTCCTTCTATTTTCCTCACAACAACAACCCTGTGAAGTGAGTTGGGTTGAAGGAGAGTGACTGGCCCAAACTCACCTGGCTGGCTTTCATGCCTAAAGTGGGACTAGAACTCCCGGTCTCCTGATTGGCCAACTGATTATATCAGCTTTTCCACCCAAAACTTAAAAAGACATCACATAAGTTCATCAACATTTTACCCAGGGTCTCGTGGGACTGTAATAATGACAACAGAAGTCAGTTGTGTAGTTGGCCGGTCAAACACCATACAAAGGAAGAACAACAGGGGTCTATTTTCTGTCTCCCCAGCCCCATATTACCATGTTTGATGGACAGAAACCCATGCTGCTCAAAGACTTTGAGGCTAGAGGAAGAGAAATTGTCATATTACCGATATATATTTTTCATCCTTAAGTGACCTGGAGACTTATTTATTCTCAGTCAACGTGTTGTGGCAGTTGTTTTAATAAATGTTTGACCTTCAGACAGAAATTTCTCAACCTTTGCAACCTGAAGATGTGTGGACTTCAACTCCCAGAATTCCCCAGCCAGCATACAGTGTTTCTCAACCGCCACGACTTGGAGATGTGTGGACTTCAACTCCCAGAATTCCCCAGCCAGCATACAGTGTTTCTCAACCGCCACGACTTGGAGATGTGTGGACTTCAACTCCCAGAATTCCCCAGCCAGCATACAGTGGAATCCTGGGAGTTGAAGTTCACACATTGTAAAATTGCCCAAGATTGGGAAACACTACGTTCAAACTTTATACTTGGTTGGCTTTGACCCTATGAATTGTCTTTCAGTTACAGTTACGAAGCTGTTAAGAAGGATTTTTATTGTTTATTTAAACCAGGGGGTCCCCAAACTTGGCAACTTTAAAACTTGTAGACTTCTACTTCCAGAGAATTCTGGGAGTTGAAGCCCACAAGTCTTAAAGTTGCCAAGTTTGAAGACCTCTGATTTAAACTTTTCAATCCACCTTGAAAAGGGTTGTTTTGTCCACAGGCAATCCTTATGCAATTTTAAATAAGTGCTTCTGTGTTTGCATACTGAAAAAAGGATTTGCAAAAAGAAATGGAAAAGTCAATATTGTAATAGAATTCGGAGCGCCATAAATTATTTGCGATGCTGGCTAGCGGTTTCTTTGGAAAAGTAAATGGTGACCTTGTATTTATTGCACTGCATTGCAGATCAGGACAAAGGGATGTTAGACTTCTAAGAATATGAGTCCCATCAAGTTCTCCTTCAGTGGTTTTTGCTTTCGACTTTTCAAATTCAGGAACTGAATACCGATAGTGCTCGAATTACACCCGTTCATTTAGCGACGGTTCAAAATTACAAAGCTTCCGGCAAGCAAAGTCAATGGGGAAGCCAGACATGAGCCTTGGTGGCGCAGTGGTTAGAGTGCGGTACTGCAGGCTACTTCTGCTGCCTGCCAGCTGCCTGCAGTTTAGCAGTTCAAATCCCACCAGGTTTAAGGTTGACCCAGCCTTCCATCCTTCCAAGGTCGAGATGGCGCAGTGGTTAGGGTGCAGTACTGCAGGCCACTTCAGCTGACCGTTAGCTGCAGTTCGGCGGTTCAAATCTCACCGGCTCAAAGGTTGACTCAGCCTTCCATCCTTCCAAGGTCGAGATGGCGCAGTGGTTAGGGTGCAGTA